TAGTAGTAGTAGTAGTAGTAGTAGTAGTAGTAGTAGTAGGTAGTAGTAGTAGTAGCAGTCGTAGTAGTAGTCGTAGTCGTAGTAGTAGTAGTAGTAGTAGTAGTAGTAGTAGTAGGAGTAGCGTAGTCGTAGTCGTAGTAGTAGTAGTAGTAGTAGTAGTAGTCGTAGTAGTAGCGTAGTAGTAGTAGTAGTAGTAGTAGTCGTAGTCGTAGTAGTAGTAGTCGTAGTAGTAGTAGTAGTAGTAGTAGTAGTAGTAGTAGTAGTAGTAGTAGTAGTAGTAGTAGTAGTAGTAGTAGTAGTAGTAGTAGTAGTAGTAGTAGTAGTAGTAGTAGTAGTAGTAGTAGTAGTAGTAGTAGTAGTAGTAGTAGTAGTAGTAGTAGTAGTAGTAGTAGTAGTAGTAGTAGTAGTAGTAGTAGTAGTAGTAGTAGTAGTAGTAGTAGTAGTAGTAGTAGTAGTAGTAGTAGTAGTAGTAGTAGTAGTAGTAGTAGTAGTAGTAGTAGTAGTAGTAGTAGTTGTAGTAGTAGCAGTAGTAGTAGTAGTAGTAGGAGGAGGAGGAGGAGGAGGTGGAGGCAGACGAGTACGCAGTGGGCGCAGGGCTAGGACGAGGCCGAGACGAAGGAGGGGGAAGGGACGGATGCCATTTCAGACAGAGGCAGTGCCGCGAAGATGTGTCGAGAGGAAGAGACCGCGCGCGCAGACCCTGGTCAGCTCGACTGGGTACTTCCGGCCTCCGAATGAGGCAGACACCCACGTCGATGGGGATCCACACTGCCCGTGCACGGCTTGCCCCATTTTGACATCAGGTGCAATGAGTGCTGATTCTGTCTGAGTGATCTTTGTGGTGCGGGCGCTTCTCAGGGTGCGCGGGGATTGTCGAGGACTTGGGCTGCAGGGGCGTCTGTCGATAGCAGTGGAAGCTGATCTTTCCAACTGCTCAGAGCAGACGCCTTCAGAGCATTCAGGAGACAGCTCAGGCTGTTCTAGAACTCACCTAAGGGGCAGGCGCCTCCCGGCCTGCGTCGAGAAGGCAGGTCCTTCGGAGCCCTCAGGAAAAGTCCTTCCATAGGCTGATTCGAAAGGTACTTGCGGGACAGGCTTCATTGCGTGGTCCTGCAAGGGAGCCTCAGAGGGTCCCAATGCCTTGCGCACTTGGGGATTTCGTCCAGGTCTCGTCGGGCTTGGTTGACGCGCCTGGACGACATCTGGACGACGTCTGCACGAGAAGGGTGAGGAGGGAGAGGGTCGACCTCCGGGCGATCTCCGTGGAGTCCTCCCGCTGTGGAGGACGAGGTGAGACCGAGCAGCAGGATGACGAGGCGAGACCGAGCTGCAGTAGGGTCCCCATGAGAGCCCGCGCACCGAGGAGGAGGAGGAGGAGGAGGAGGAGGAGGAGGAGGAGGAGGAGGAGGAGGAGGGGTAGGAGGAGGAGGAGGAGGGGGACTCCCCTTAGCTTGCCATCTCGACTCGCGATGGGGCCATGGAGCCCTCCTGCTGCGCAGGGCGAGGTGCGCCCAGGGCCGCGCCAGGCGTGCCGCCGGAGGGGTGCCGGCCGCGCTCCCCGCCCGGGCGCCCCGCGCCACGCTCCGAGAGGCCCGGAGAGCGGCGCGCTCGCCTCGGCGCGGAGCAGCGCGGGGTGTTTTTGTACGATGCTTTTGTTGCTTTCGTCCTCTGCCGTGCCGCTTTTTGCCGGTCCCCCCCCCCCCATGCCCCCTTATTTGCTGGCTCTTGCAGAAAGGGAGGGCGCTCTACGAAGCAGGGGGAGGAAGGCGCAGGGCGCGTCCCCGTGCAATGATGCTGGCCCTCTTCTGCTAGGACGCAGAGCAGAGGGAGCAGGCGCGCGACGACGGCGCTCGACGGGGCTCGACGACGACGGCCGCGCGCGCGCCGGCGCAAGCCGGGCTCGCGGGGGTGCTGCCCGGTTCGCGGCCGGGGGGGCTCTCTCACTGGCGGGCGGGAGCGCCGGGCGGCTCGCGCAGGCCATCCCCCCCACCCCCCCGCGGGAGGTGCTCGCGGCCCGTGTGAGCACGCGTGAGGTCGCGCCACGCTGCTGCTCGTCGTCGTCGTCGTCGTCGTCGTCGTCGTCGACACCAACCTTCCGTGCGTTCATCCGTAGCCGCCGGCTCGAGCCCCAGAAAAGGTTTCCCTGAGCCCACCCACCCAGGTTTGTCGCGATTTGTTCGTGCTCCACGCCGCTGCGAGCGGGACCAGTATTCCAAGGCTTGCTCCAGATACGATCCAGAGGCTTCGCGCACAGATGCACCACAAGCCCGCTATGGCGCGCGTAAGTTGTGTGCCTCCCACGCTGCGGCTTCGTTGTAATCGTAGCCTCAACGAGGACTCCTGCATGACATATGTAAGGTGCGGGTGTCTTTCCTTGCTTGTAAACCACATCAGGTTTATTGTGGGGGAAGGCGTCCCCTCGCAGGTCCCGTCTGGGGCCGGCGTTTGTTGAGGACAAGAGCTCTTCCTCCCCGCACAGACCCTACTTGGGGCTGGCGGTGGAGTTCCAATGGTCCACACACACCCGTTCCCTCAGGTACCCCTTTCCCAGTACCCCCTGGCCATCATATTCCCCACGCTCGGCCTGCACTTTTGCCACCTGTTCCAGCCGCCAGGGATGAGGCCAGGGAGCGGGCCGAGGCAACGACAGGCGCGCTTTCTTTCCTGAAGCCTAGGCGTTCGCGCACTGTCCAAATCTGCTCTCGCATTCGGTGAGTCTTATTGGAAACTCGTTTTAACATTCATGAGCCTTGTTTTTTTCTGGCGTTTCGTGGCTCTTAATGGCGCTAACATGATTTGTGGTGGCTTTTAGTGGCGTGTTTAGTTGTGTTTAGCTGTTTTTAGTTGCTTTGATCGGTCCCTAGTCGCTTTTCTCGGGGACACTAAAAACCAATATAAGTCACAACGAGCCGTCTGGCGTCTGTGAACTTGAACGTCCAACGATACTCGTATAATTCACACAGAAGAGGAACTCGCTCATTCCTCCATCCCCTTGCCTCTCTCCTCCCCCCTCCCCCGTCCGGGCGCCCGCTCATCTCTGCCCGCCCTCCCGAGGATCAGCTGAAGGAGATCGAGGCCGAGTTCAGCGAGAAGAGCCGCAACTACAAGGACGGGCCTCTCTTGGCCGCCTGCGATCCGGTTCGATGCGATTCGATTCGCTGGCTGGGGCCGCGATTCTGATTCGATTTGATTCTGCTCGGTTCACTGGCATCGGCCTTGCGGCCAGCGTTGCGACCCGATGATGACGCAGACGAATTCATGATGACGCTGCTCCCAGCCTAGATTCTGAAAAGCTGCGCTGCTCTAGTCGAGGCAGTGTAGCACCGAACCGGCCCGAGAGCCCGATCGATCGATCGAGCCTCCTCTCGTTGCTGTCCTTTTCCACTTCTCAGGAGCCGTGCAGCCCGCAGATCTGAGGACGGCCTCCGATGCGAAGGCTCGCTGTGTCTCCGGGGTCGCTCCAGAGCTCGGCTGGCGAGGGGTTCAGAGAGGTGCTCGTGTGGGCCAAGTGTGCAGCGGCCGGCGGCCCCGATGGGAGGAGGCCTCCATCGCCCATCGCGGGGGGCAGGTGGAGGGTGATAATTAGGGGGGGTGGCGAGTGGAAACCGTGGGGAGAAGGGATGCGAGATGGTGGGGGTAGCGGGTAGGAGAGAAGGCATCAGCGAGGAGGATGAGGAGAAGGAGGAGGAGGAGGAGGAGGACGAATAATAATAATAATCGTACTACGAATGCAAATATGATGATGATGATGATGCCGATGATGATGATGATGATGATGAGGAGGAGGAGGAGGAGGAGGAGGAGGGGGAGGAGGAGGAGGATGAGGAGACGGAGGAGGAGGAGGAGGAGGAGGAGGAGGAGGAGGAGAAGGAGGCGTTCTCCTACGATTTATCCTCCGCCTTATTCCTCCCCTCTATCTTCCTCCTCTCTCTTCTTCTTCTCCTCCTCCTCCCTCCCTCCCTCCTTGCCTCCCTCTTTCTAGCCCCGGGGGCAGGGGGACCCCTGGGCATTGGGGTCAAGGTCCTCCTTCACTCCCTCGGGTCAGCCTCGGGTCCCCAGACCGCCCCTCAGGCCACACCCTGGCCAGCTTTTTCTCCTGGATCGATCTCTGACGGCCCCCTCGTGTCTGAGACGGCCCCTCGGAGACCAACGTCGTGAAGAAAACACGCTCCAGCGTGATTTGTTCCATGATGTGCCAGTTCGTGGACTTCGAGCTCCACGTCGAGGTCCTTTACTGAGCGGACAGGCTGACGCCTCCAGGCCGCTCGCCCCTCCGACAGTCGGCGGACTGCTAGCAAAATTCTGAAACATGTTCGGGGACCTCCTCCCCCGAGTGGACCCCAGAAAAGGCAGAGCACCTTTTTTACGGTTTCCGAGAGTCTGGCTCTTTGAGTAATAAGATGCGACGAAATTTCGGAAGCCCTGCCAAGGGGGTCACTGCAAACGAAGGCCAGCCAGGGCGCCAGATCTTGCAGGATCCTGCAAAGCCAGCCAGGGTTGCTGGCACTGACCCGGGCCAGCGCACAGGATATTGTAGAATCTTGCAGGATCCTGCAAAACCCGACTGACCCGGGTTTGGATTGACTCGGGTCAGTTGAGCCCCGAACGCTTTTCACAGAAACAGAGCAAAAGAAGGCGCTGGACTCGGAACCATAATCGGAGCCGCAACAAACGCGGCGACGCAGCTGGACAAAAAAACGGCAACGAAACCAGACACAAGTAAGATAACGATGGAACCAGAAGAGCAACTGTGCCCCGTCTTTTTCATTTTGATTTGTGCTGGGTGGAAATGGGCCGTACAGCTGTTGCGGTTATCCAGTTGTCTGAAGCAAACTTCGCCACGTTGCGTGTGCAACAGCGCAGCAGGAAGGCGGCTGAAGGTAGGAACAGCGCAATTCCGGCGAGTAGTCCGTATTGGGTTGGTCGTGATCCCGACCTCGTCTTCGTCCGCGCGGTAGGGATGAGGATGAGAATGAGGATGTGGATTTGGATGATGATGAGGACGAGGAAGAGGATGAGGATGATCGGGATGATAATGATGCTGACGATTCTGATGCTCATGATGATGATGATGGTGATGATGATGATGATGACGATGATGATGCTGATGCTGGTGATGACGATGACGATGACGATGCTGATGATGATGCTGTTGCTGATGACTCTGATGCTCATAATGAGGATGCTGCTGCTGCTGCTGATGATGATGATGATGATGATGCTGACGCTACTGCTGATGTTGCTGCTGATGATGCTGCGTATGATGATGATCATGCTGATGATGATGCGGCTGATGATGGTGATGCTACTTATGATGATGATGATGATGATGATGATGATGATGATTATGATGATGATGATGATGATGCTGATGCTGCTGATGATGATGATGATGACGATGATGATGATGATGATGCTGATGATGATGCTGATGATGCTGATGATGATGCTGATTATGATGATGATGCTGATGATGATGATGATGATGCTGATGATGATGATGCTGCTGCTGATGATGATGATGATGATGATGATTATGATGATGATGATGATGATGATGATGATGATGATGATGATGATGATGCTGGTGATGGTGATGATGATGATGATGATGATGATGATGATGATGATGATGATGATGATGATGATGATGATGATGATGATGATGATGATGATGATGATGCTTCTCGAGCCTTCCCAGGGGCCTCCTGGGATCTTCCTGAGAGCTTCTTGGGGGCCTCTTGGGGGCCTCATGGGGCCTCTTGGGGTTCTCTTGGGTCCTCTTGGGCCGTCTTAGGAAGCTCATGGCTTGCCTGAAGCCTGTGGATGCCGCTCTCTCTAGGCTGCGTTGGTGCCCTCTTGGAGCGGTTCACGGCCGTTTTGGGGCCTTCTTGGGAGCCTTTTGGGCGATCTTTGGGTCCTCTTGGGCCGACTTCGGGCCCTCTTGGGAGCGTCTTGGACTGTCTTGGAGCTATCTTGGATGCTTCTTGGAGGTTTCTCGGGCCGTCTTGGGCGATCGGAAACCCGACCAGGTGAGAAGAACCTCGACATCATTCAGACTCCTAAGTCACATCACTGGTTTGGGTCTCCTCGTGCTCTCCAGGAGGGCTCCTTCGAGACTTCTTGGACCGTCTTGGGGGCTTCTAGATCTGTGTTGAGGATTCTGCGGGGGCCTCGTGAGCCGTCTTGGGCCATCTTGGCGTCATCTTGGCTGCCTTGAACGGCGTCCTGGATACCATGGCGCTTCCAAGAAGGCCTCAAGACAGCTCAAGAGGCCTCCAAGACGGACGAAGAGGTTGCCAAGAGGCCCTCCATGAGAGCCCAAGGAGGCCAAACCCAGTGATGGTCCTTAGGTTGTTGAATGGGTTTGAGTTTCTGTTATGTTTGGGTTTCCGATCGCCCAAGCCAGCCTAAGAGGCCTCTGTGGGCCATCTTGTTGTTCGTCTGGAATGCTTCACGGCCGTCTTGAGACCCTTTTTGGGAGGCCCGTGGGCGATCTTTGGGGCCTCCTGGGCCGACTTCGGGCCCTCTTGGGGTCGTCTTGGGCTGTCTTGGAGCTATTTTGGAGCTATTTTGGGGGCCTTTTGGAAGCCTCTTGGGCCGTCTTGGGTGGTCGGAAACCCGAACAGGCGAGAGCTTGACATCTTTCAATAACCTAGGGGTAATCAATGGTTTTGGTCCCCTCGGGCTCTCCAGGAGGGCCTTTTGGAGCTCTCTCGGGCCGCCTGGCGGGCCTCTTGGCCCGTCCTGATGCTCTCTAGGGCTATCTTGGGCGGTCTTGAGGCTCTCCCGAAAGCCTCTTCAGCTGTCCTGGGCCATCTTGAGCTGTTTTGTTGTTGTCTTGACTGTCTTGGAAGCCCTATTGGAAGCTGTCTTGGCCGTCTGGAGGGTGAAAAGACAGCCAGCAAGCAATTTCCGAGTGGACGGTTTTCGATGGGGGCGCCTGCCGGAAGGGGGGGGATCCATTAAAACCCTACAGCACATCCCACCAGACAACACAACGCATTCTAACACGCCCACTCCGTGCAGGTACGGTGACGGACAAGAGAAACAAGGTATAGCAAATACCGACTTAGTCGTGATGGCCAACCAGTTCGACCCAGTTGAGCGCAGCAGAAAGCAGCTGGGCGACAGGAGGAAAAGAAAAGAAGCTACGCCCGCGATGGCACAGAGACCAGGGCCCAACAGGTTTCCTCCCCCCTCTCAAGGGCCCACTAGTTATCCCCTCCCGCCTCCTCCTCCTCCGCCTCCTCCGCCTCCCCCTCCTCCTCGCCTCCTCCTCCTCCTCCTCCTCCTCCTCCTCCTCCTCCTCCTCCTCTTGATGTTTCCCATGAGTTGTTCCACACGCGAACGCCCTGCCCTCTGTTTTCCATGCGGACGCCTGGGCGCGCCTTCCGCCGCGCCCGCGTGGCGCCGCGCGCTCGGAGCCGTTGCCGTTGCCCCTCCCCGCGGCAGGACCGCGTGGCCAAGCGCTCCGACGAGCTGATGGCCCTCACCGAGGCGGGCGCGCGCGTCGCGCCGGGGCCCCCGCGCGCGCTGGCCGCCGCCCCTCCGCCCCTCCAGGGGTCAGGGGCAACGTTCGAGGTTCGGTGTTCGAGCAGGCGGAAACAAAGAGAGGGAGAGAGGGGGAAAGGAGAGAGAGAGGCGCGCGCGACGACGGCGAATGAACGACGACGACGCCCGGCTCAAACTAGCGCCGCCCCTCCCTCAGGTTCGATGTTCGAGGTCAGGGGGATGCGTCCTTTGAGGTTCGATGTTCGAGGTTCTCGGCAGTGTTCGTCGGCTCCCAGAGGTGTTCCAGCCGCGGGGTGCCTTCCAGCAGCTGCGCCTCGTGGAGGGCGTTCCGGGGCTGCACGGATCGGTCCGAACGGCCGCCAGAGAGCCGAGGCATCACCCGAAAACCATTAGGATCGGGGGCAGTTTTATCGGGTAAAGCCAGGACCCCGGTTAAGGGGAGCCGGTTAGTGATTGGGCCCCGAAGCCCAAAATATGGATTGGAATCACTAAACCAAACCAGGTTTGCCGTAGCTGGTGTTTTTTCGGGTGACGGCAGTTCCGGTTAGTGGAATGGGACGGGGGGGGCGTCCCCGGTACAGATCACTAAACCAGGTCCCACTAAACCCAGTTCTGCCAACGCCCGACTTTCGGGGGGGATAGGCTCAGGGAGGGATGCGCCGACCCCGCGTCGCCCGTTCGTCGCCAATAGGGGCTGGATAGCCCGCACCGCCCAGGAAGGGGCGGGTTCGCCACTGCAGGCCTAGCGCCGATCTGTCGGCGACGTGTTGCCGAGTCCAGCCCGACGTTCCCCCCCCTTGAGCCTTGGCTCCCCCCTGACGGTGCCCCTGCGGGGGGGGGAGGCAGTGCGGGCCAACTGGCCGCGCCTCTTCAGGCGTGCGGGGGATGGGGTCCGAGGCGGGCGGGGGTCAGTGAGCGCCGCCTGGGGGTTGGAGCTTGCTGGGAGGTCGAGGTGGTTTAGTATTGGTTCTGGCCAGCCGGGCGGGGGGCGAAGAGCCTTCGCGTTGCCGCGGGTGGACGCGGCTCGAAACACTAGTCATCTTCGATCTCGGGGAGGGTCGTGGGGCCGATCTTGAGCGCGCCTGCCATCGTTTCCCCGGGGCCGCCTTTCGGGGCTTCGGCAGGCGGTGGATATGGATAGGTTCGGGCCCCAAGGGGACTGACTAAGATGACTACAGTCACCCCGCATAGTAAGGATGGGCAACCTTCCCATGGTTACCCTTCCATCATTTCTCTCCGGCCCATCCGCGTCCTGTTCGCAAGGGGTCGACGTGGCCCCCCAAGGCCCTCGCATCCTTACCGCGCATCCTTACTACGAGGGTTGATTGTGCATCCTTGTCCACCCATCCTTGGCATCGGTTCCCCAGGCGGTGGCTTCAAATGGGCCCCCCCGTCTCGCAGGAGGGGAAAAGGTTTGTGCCCCTTCTCGCTCCCGTTCCCCCGACCCCCCTCGAACGACCGTCCCGGTCACCCTCCTCGGGTGTGTTCGCTGCCCCCCCGCGCCCTCGCGGGCCCCCCCCCCCATCCCCCTCTCCTCGTCCTCCTCGTCGTCCTCCTCCTCCTCCTCCTCGTTGTCCTCCTGTTCCTCCTCTTCCTCGTTTTCCTGCTCCTCGTCCTCCTTCTCCTCTTCTTCCTCCTCCTCCTGCTCTTTTTGTTCCTTCACCTTCTCCTCCTCCTCCTCCTCCATCTCCTCGTCGCACTCCTCCTCCTCCTCCTCTTCCTCCTCCTTCTCCTCCTCCCCTTCCTCGTCCTCCTCGCTTCTCTTCCTGCTCCTGCTCCTCCTCCACATTTTTCTCCTTGCCATTTTCCAATTTCATTTTGTTGTGCTCGTCGTCGTCGTCGTCGTCGTTTTTTTCCTCCTCCCCCTCCTCCTCCTCGTCCTCCTCCTCTTCTCCTCCTTCTGAGCCTTCTCATGTTCCTCCTCTTTCCCCTCCTCTTCCTCTTCCTCCTCCTCCTCCTCTTCCTCCTCCTTTTCTCCTCCTCCTCTTCTCCTCCTCCTGTTCTCCTCCTCCTCCTCTTCCTCTCCCTCGTCCTCCTCCTCCTCCTTCTCCTCCTCCTCCTCCTCCTCTCTTGCTCCTCCTTCCGTATCCTTGGCTCAAGCCGTTTTGGCTCAATCCATATCTGCATGTGGTGGTCTTCGCGACCCGCTCGGCCTGGCGCTCCCCCCGACCCGCTCCTCGTGTCCTCCTGGTCCCGCCTCCCAGCGGCCTGCCGCGCGCGCTCCCCTCCCTGCCGCCCCGCTCCCCCGCCGTGGCTGGAGTCATGGCGCCCGTCGCACCACCCGACGGTGAGATTATCTCCGTGTCTGGTCCGTCTTCTCCTCCGCCCAGCGGCCCGCAGGCACATCCTGGTGACATCAATGTGTTCACGCTCCAGATTTCGAGCCTCCAGGATCTCGTTCGTCAGGGGTTCACGACTCACGCAATGAGTTTGAGCTGTTCTGGTTCAAGTGACTACCTTCGGTAGCAACTTCAATCATATGCAGTCTGAGTTTGCCAGACTTGGCAGGGTGCCAGGAGGAACGTTTCGCAGCGATCCAGCGGCTGTGTAATCGTCAGGCACTCGTGGGGGGAGGTGGAGAATGGGGTCGTCGGAATTTTCTGAAGACGTCAGGACCTGACCAAGCCGGAGGCACTCTTTTCACCGTTCCTGGTTTCGAGAAGCTGCCCCTGGAGGCCTCGCCGAAGGACGCAGTAAAACCCATCATTGCGACTCGCGGGCCAGGAAGGTGATGCTCGACTTCTCGTCCGCCCTCGCGCGTTCAGCATTCTTCGGGAAAGGCCAGAGCGCCGGGGAAACTGCGCGACAGAACCTTATCGATGACCTTGGTTGGGAGCTGCGTGCTCGTCGCGACCAGCCCCCCCGCCAGTCAGAAACTCGCTTGCTACCTTGGCAAGACCAGGATCACTATCGGGAAAGTCTTGGGAGAGTTCACGGCCGGGAGCAACAGCCTTGGAGGGCAGACCCGTGGTCTTCTCGTCCCTGTGCGCCCAGTGGTAGGTGCGAAGGTCACGATCTCTGAGAATGCTGCGCCTGGTCTCCGGCCTGATCTTAGCGGCCTGAGTAGCTTTGGTAAGGGGGCCCGTGCTGGCTGCGTCCAGATGCGCTATGACCGACTTCGCCCCTTTGTGTGAGGGGCCAAGCTGTCCTGGAGCTTCCTGCCTTGAGACCTCGGGCGCCCCGTCTTGGCAGCTTTTCAGTTTTCCTCGGGTCCATGGCCCTCCTTCGGGAGGAGGGCTGTCTGGGGCGGGGTCCGAGACTTGCGTGCCCTCCGGTAGCCAGAGTTGGGCTCAGTCAGCCAACCGTAGTTTGGTTGAATTCGGGAGGTGGGGTCACGCTGCGTGACCCCGCCGAGGGCCTCTGGAGCGACTGGGGATTCCCCCCAATTCTTCTCTCTCTGTCTGCGCTGAAAATACTCGCGTTCTTTTCTTGTCCCATGCTACGTCCTCACCACTTGCCAGCGCGCGGTGCGCGTGGATGCCCCAGCTTGTCGGCAATCTTGATGCGGCGCGTTTTCACGAGGCGCATGGCGCGCGCGCGCTGACTGTGAGATGCTTGGGCATGGTGAGCGATGTCGGAACGTTGTTGTGCATGTTTCTATGAGTGGCCGTCTGCTGGCGGGGGTGTTGTCGCGGTATCGCCCAGTAACTTGATGGAGCCGCTTGATGCTTGCACCTCGCGCCAGGTGATGGGGAGGGATGGGGATCTCATGGTTCTGAATGTTCACGTGCCCACTACCACGGACCCTGTTGGGCTGTATCGCAGGTACCTAGGTCTGATTCAGGCCGTTCTCCCATCCGTTGTTCATGCGATGTGCAGTGTGGCGGGGGACAGGGGTTCAATGGGGGCTTACGGGGGCATGCTTCGGACGGATGGGTCTCGGTTGGCTGGAGATCGGCAGCAGACGGATGGTTTCGCGTGGGAATGTGGGTGCGGAGCAGAGTTGTGCCGACCTGATCCGACCAGGATGGATGTATCCGCAGGCGCGGTGCGTGGCGCGGTTCGTCTCGATCGCAGCTGCGCCTCTCTCTCTCTCTCTGCTCCTGTCGCATTAATTGTTGCTCGATGGCCATGTGAGTTTCGGGCCCTGATGTCGTGCTTCAGTATGGGTGATTTTCAGTATGATATTGAGGCCTTATTGGCCTCTCTGGAAGACGATGAGTTTATCCCCGCGCGGGTCAGCTGGGCTTGGTGCAGACAGTCTTGGATCATGGGGACGGTGGACGAAGCAGGTCGCTTCTCAGCGTCCGTTCTCGCGCCCATCCCCAAAATGCAGCTCCGGCAAAACAGAGGGCCTTGGAGCGGCTGAAAGACTTCCGTGGCCCCGTGGCGCCTCTCCGTGCACTGGCCCGGGGAGTGTCCAAGTAGGTGGGGCCGGGCAGTTTCTGGTCGCCGATTTCCAGGTGCTGGCCAGGAGGATGCGACGAATAGAGAAAGAGAGGACGATGCACATTGTGACAGGAATCCTCAAGGCATTGTGGCGGGGGGCGCGCGCGTCGAGCCGTTTTCGCACCGCTTTGTTGCGATGGCGACCTTCGGCGTTGTCGCGCGCCCGGCCTCGCGCATTGCCTCGTCGGCATTTTTCCCCGCGGTGGTCCACTTGCATCGCGGATTGAACAGTTGGATGTGACGATTGCCTTGTGGCGCCTTGTTGTATGGGGCCGCGCTGGGGGGGGTCTCGCGACCTGGCGGGGTGCGCTCTTATGTGCGGCTGCCTGGCTGCCCGCAATGCCCGTTGGGCGGGCCCCCAGGTCCCTGGGGACTTCCTTGTCGAGGCGCGGTTGGGGCAACTGTTCCGCCCAGTTTTGCGATGTTGGGAGGGCGCCCCCCCCCACTCCCTCCTCCTGTTCTCCCTCCTCCTGTTCCCCCTGCCCTCTTCCTGTTTCTCCTGTTCCCCCTGCGCAGCTTGGAGAGCCGCCCCCCCTCTTTCTGTTCCCCCGTTTTCCTGTGCCCTCCTTCGTTCCCCTCCCCTGCGACCCCTCCTC